TAGTTTATTGAGTGTTTTTATCATGAAAGGATATTGAATTTTTTCTAATTTTTTTCTGCATCAACTAAAATGATCATGCTTTTTCCTTCAGTCTATTAATGAGGAATATTACATTAATTGATTTTCATCTGTTGAACCATTCTCAAATTCCAGGAATAAATCCCACTTGGTCATAATGTATAACCCTTTTAATGTGATGCTTTGGCTTGCTAGTATTTTGTTGAGGATTTTTATATCAACATTCATAAGGGAATTTGGTCTGCAATTTTCTTTTGTCTTTGTCTGGATTTGATATCAATGTAGTTTGTTTTTTTTTTTTTAAATATATCCTAAATATAAATCCCTTTTCAGGCATATGATTTACAAATATTTTCTCTCATCCTGAGGATTGCCTTTTTACTCTTGTCAAGATGTCCTTTGAAGCACAACAGTTTTAATTTTGATGAAATCAATTTATTTTTTGCTTTTGTCACTTGTGCTCTTTCTGTCATAGCTTAGAAACCATTGCCTAATCCAAGATCACAAAGATTTATGCCTATGTTTTCTTCTGAGAGTTATAGTTTTAGCTCTTACATTTTGGGCTATGGTCCATTTGAGTTAATTTTTGTATATGGTTGAAGGTAGAGTTTCAACTTCATTCTTTTGTATGTTGTCCTAGCAACATTTGTTGAAAAGACTATTTCTCTATGAATTGTCTTGGCACTGTTGTTGAAAATCAACTGATCATAAATGTAAGAGTTTATTTCTGGGACATTTTATTTTCTCTTATTTAATAAATTTCTGTCATTTAATTAGTCTTATCCTTCAGTCGCAGAGAAATGTCTCTGCTGTGACCTAAACATATATAAAATGGCTTAAGTGAAAATGTTGTAAGGTCTATATTGTTCTGGAATGTGGATATTTTAGTCAACATTATATTTTCCCCTCAAAAGATGAAAACCTATTTAATCCTTTACAAGTCCCTGTAAAAATAGTACAATAAAAGTGAAAGGGGAGTACCTAGCATCACCCTCAAGAGGCTTGCTGTACCACTCAACATTATTGCCTGGTCTCCTGTTTACATAGCCACCAGATGACAAAATGTCCACTTTCCAATAATTCAGAGATTCCTCTGAACCACTGCTGCCAGCTGAAGTCATTACTGTTTCCAAAGACCAGGAAGAGTATAATTCCAAAGATGGCTGTGTTTCCTGTAAGAACAAGTGCAAAAGTTCCCCAACTCAATCAGCTGAGCTCAGGCAAACATAGTCCAAAATGCCTGTTTTAAGAAATATGATAAGTTCATTAGAAGCACGAGTCATAGCTTCTGTATCACTAATCTTTTTGCTAATGCAGAATGGAATAGGTGGGGGAGGAACAGAACAAGGGATGAAATATTGGCTAGAAAAAATAAGTGAATATAGTTTTGCTATTCACATAATTCTTTTACATAATATGTTTCTTTTTCTAAGCACCAAAGGAATATTGCAAAGTACAAAACATGATAGAATAAGCAATATGCAACCTGAATACTGAAATGGGAAATTATATTTTGAATCACAGTACTCCCAAATCAATTATAGCATAACTAACAAATGTTTTGTTTACATTAAAATAAAATGCTTTATAAATTATAACAGTCAGAATCAAGGCTCAAAATTCAAAATATTTTTCATTTTAGATTAAAAACAGGCACAGATAACAGGAAACTACTTAGACTTAAGTCAAATATATGTGTTGAAAATTTAAAGGTAAATTCTAAAAGAATGTATAACTTTCAAAGAACAAGGATAAAATCCCGAATAAAGAAAGAATATGAGGCAAAAACATAATTAAGAAGTCTATAAATATATATATATCAATATACAATAACAAATTGAGAAAAAATTTGCATGTTATATCCCAAAGGACTAATTTCCTTACTAAAGAATGACAAATTCAGAAAACAAAGACTAAAGGAAAAAAAAAAAACAAAGACTAACGCCCAACAAAGAAATTGGCAAGTAATATAAATAACAATTCATATAAAAGAAAATATAGATCTCTCAAAAACATTAGAAAAAGTATTTATTATTCCATATACTAGAAGAATGCAAATTAAAAATACATGCTAGTATTTTTCACCTATCAGATATTCCCGTCCAAAATAATTCCCCTCATCACTTTCATCTCCTCATCCTGCACGGACCACTTTCTGATATCATCTGCCTTTTCCTTAGCTTCTAATGTCCACGAGGCCAATTACTTTATCTGTATTGTTCACTGCATCTCCATCTTCTAGAATGTTACATGGCATGTGGTAATTACCCAAGATGTTTGTTGAATGAAGAAATGAATGATATACTGTGTTATTAAGGTATAAGTAAAGGCACTCCCAGGTATTGCTGATGGGAGTGTAAATTCATACGACCTCCTTGAAAGCAATTTGGCAATAACTATCAAAATTACAAATACAACATTAACGTATTTGTTTATTGTTTAATGGATACAGAATTTCTGTTTGGCATGATGAAAAAGTTCTGGAAATAGTGGTAATGGTTACTAAACATTGTGAATGTACTTACTGTCACTGAATTGTATACTAAAATGGTTAAAATGGTCAATTTTATGATATGTATATTTTACCACAAAAAAATCACAATCTTGTAACTTCTGTAATATTTTTATCTTTTTTCCAACGGTGCTGGCATCTGGGATAGTTAAACAACAGAGTTGGCATGAACCAGGCCCAGAATGCCAACCAGCTGTTCTCCCAGCAGTGTCACACTTGCCCAGGTACAAGGCAACCTAGGCAGCTGCCTAAAGCTGGGGTGTAATACTTTCAAAAAGCAACTTCAAAAGGTATTTCTTGAACACCACTCAGGATTTGTACCAAGTATCCTGTGAGTATAATATTTATTTTATTTGCAAGAATGACTCATTCTTAGCAGCAGACAGGACCAGGATCACGGACCTATAACAGGGCAACAGCTACAAGCAAGACTACCTGATCATGTTGTGACATCTTTTCTTCTAGGTGTTTCTGCCCCTTTCCCAGATACGAAGACATTAATTTTCAAATCTGCATGTCAGCATTTCCTGCTCTTGGTTTCAATGAAATCCTCCAAACCAATAACTTCTCTATGTTGATTGTCAAGTTTTAATTCGCTGGAGAATTATAATACTTTCTTGTATTTTCCCAGTTTCGTGACTGATTGTTCTTGGAATTTGGGAAAACATACATTTCTTAAGAAATGCTGGGAAGGAATTCCCTTATGTACACACAAGGAACCCCAAAAGGCACCAGGAAGATTAAAAAAAATATATGAGGCATGAAAGCTAAGTTACAAAAGAGTTTAAGAAGGAAAACTAAGGTAATTAAGATAAAAACTAAAGTATTGATTTGTTAACTAAGTCATCAGTCATATTAGAGGACAATTTCAGTGGAGTAGTTCATTGCATGGCAACTGGCTTTGGAGTCAGACCTGGCTTAGGATCCTAGTTCTTAGATTTACTAGATGTGTGATCCTGGACTAGTTATTTAATACTATTTTACCGAGCCTCAGTTTCCTCCTCTATTAAAGAGAAATAACATCTACCATCAGGTGTGCAATTTGAGGTTACCCTACTTACAATTTAACAAGTCAGTCTGTTACTGTTTCATGGATGCTGGCAGAAGACAAGAGACTCTTATGTCAGAGACAAAAGATCTTATTCATGGCACAACAAGCAGCCTAAGCATCATGTATGCATTGGTTCCCTGTCTTCTAAGTCCCACAGAGGCAACATGGAGAGGCCTAGATGGATGCTAGGCACACAGTGAGTTGCATTATAGGGGAGAAACAATGAGCTTGGGAACCCCTGTTTTATAATAAATGGTAAGCAAGCTGCTCTTTGTTCCAGATAGACACATTACCTCTCCAAGGTTGGTTGCTACAAACACAATCCTGAGACATGGCCTGGGTAAAGAGTGGCCAAGGCCTTGCCTTTTTTTTTTCTATACTCAAGGTTATGGTTTATTAAAGCAAAAGGATACAGATTAAAATCAGCAAAAAGGTGCATGTAGCGAAGTCCTAGAGAAACCAGGTGCAAACATCCAGATGTTCACTCCCAGTGGAGCTGCACAGGGACACATTAGTTCTCTCAGTAATGATTTGTGACAATAGACATCAATTGTTCCCAACCATAGAAGTTCACCTGAGCCTTGACATCCATGGTTTCT